ATTGAGGCATCCAAATAATCTTAATCAAATTAGTACATCTCACCATAGAGGTAGGTAGTTTGCACCAGGTGGTAGACTGACCTAAAACATGAAATCAGCGAAAGAAAGTTGAGAGTAATATAATCAAATATTTTGGGAGAAATTGAAATACCTAGATGTTTAAGCTGGGAAACAACCTTATTATTGGCAGATGGGCCTGTTAGACTGGGTTCACACAGATTAGATGACGGAAACGCAGTGCATCCTGTGCGTTTCCCGCACCGCATTGCAATCGCATGACATCCATGCAATATGCTGCAGGTGTGAATGCTAAATTAATGACACCCTGAAACAGATTGCAAAATGCAGTGCGATTGCCAGAACTTGATTGCATGGGTGTGAACACCCACGCAATGCGATAAAGGTGTGAAAAAACCTTTTTGGTGCAGAAGCGATGTGATTTGAGCCATACAAAATGGCTCAAATTGCACCACACAGACATCACATGTGATGTGCCCAGGAATGCGTTGCAATTCCTGTGTGAATCACACACAATGTTTCCGGCAACGCACAAGTGTGAATCCAGTCCTAAAGTTATTAGAAAGGAAGAAGGGTGGACTTCTCCCACTTAATATTGAGCCCTGAAAAACTTTGAAATTCTGCGATAAGGGACAAAGGGGTCAATTCACTAAGAGATAAATACCGCATGAATTTTTGAGTTAAAATAACTCATATGGAATTTATTTCAAAAGTAGTCAATTCACTAAAAAACATGCGTTATTTACAGAATGTGTTAAATATTTATGTTTTGTGATATTTAGCACTTAAATCGCATTATTTTTGGTGTTGTTTTTTCACAATGTTTTTTTTTTTTTGCAGGCTGACACCGTGCCAGAAGGCATACAGCAATTATGTGAAACTGTGAAAACATCCTATTGTGTTTTCATTCACGAAATGACCTCCCTCTGATGAAATGTTACAATTTATTTTCATTAACTATAACAAATGTAGTGCTACTCACATATAATATATAAATACAAAATACAAAAAATAATATATGCATTATTTTCATTCCTGAGCTCAGAGGAGAACACTTTTACACTGATACATTGTATGCTTTTCACTTTCTGGCCAGTGCAGAGTTCCTCTAATTGTTATTTTGTGCATTTCTAAAATACCTCCAGCAAACACCAGGTGATGAATTATGAATGTGAATTTTTTAATGAATTGACTTTAATGATTTATCTCATGTTTTTTTTTTTTTGCGGTATTTATCTTACTATTTTAACAAATGTGCTGTGTTTACCTCACATTCGATATTTTTTACTTTGATGAATTGACTCTTACATTATCTCATGTGATATTTCTGAAAAATTAGTCATGTGACCTTTATATCGCATGCAGTAACCTTTAGTGAATTGACCCCATAGCCTCTTAGAGAGAGGATTTAGTGTCAGACAGGACATTTAATACATTTTCCAGAGGAGCCTGCAGAGCATTGTACCCGTGATCAGTGGATCATGGGTGCAATGTCAGGCTCCTGCAAGTAAGCCCTATAGCTTTCAGCCCACCTCTGTATAGGTTGTCTGTTTGAAAGCTGCAGGGCTTGTGACTGAACTATGAGAGCACTAATCAACACCCTCAAAGTTCATTGAGCACTACAAGCTGTCTGCCGCTGTGGCAGATGGGACTTGTAGCTCATTAATTCACAGATCACCGTGAATGAATGATGCAGCTGTCTGGGCAGCATCCCTGCACAGCTGCTCTGTTTTTGAAAAGTTACAGCAGATGCAGAAAGTGGAACCCCCACCCACTGTCATATGGAGACCCTATAGGGGTTAAACACTGCAAAAAACAGTCCACGCAGTAATATGAGGTAGTGCACTTTGGCCATTTGGTTGAACCCAAAACTATATCAACAGGCAAACCACAAAATATTATATAAAGAAAGCCCAATGCTGGAGGTATGCAAACTACCTTTTTTCCTATCAGTATAATGTCACATATTGCCAAGCACTATACATCACCTAAAGACACATTCAGGCTGATTTACTGAAGGAGTTGAGAACATATCACAATACATTGTGTGAACATTCACTTCTATTATCCAATTGTGTGAAAATCACATTCCTGTTCACTTTCACTACCCAGTCATGTGCAGATTAAAATAGTAAACATGGATTTGCTTTTCACATTAATGGATGACTGAAGTGGAAATCAACACAATATATTGTGTGAATATTGTCAACTCCTGTAGTAAATCACCATTAACCAGTTCCCAGACACTAGTTGTTGCAGGTGGATGTCATATATTGTTCCCTGGAACGCGCTTCTCATGTGCCCCACAGGCCATGCTGCTCCATGATCTGTCACCTGCTGTGTCCACCAAAAGATGACTAATCAGTGTACAGGCCGCCGTTGGTACCATGTGATCGCTGTGACCAATCACAGCAGATCACTTGACAATTGTACACAATGGATAGTGTTCACTAATGCCATCCATTGTGTAGTATTGTGTTAATCTCTGTGATTGGCCACAGTGATCACATGGTGCAGACAGGGTCAATCACAGCCCATCTGTACCATGTGATTAGCTGTGACCAATCACAGCTAACAACAATAGTAAATACTGAATGAATCGATTTTATTCAGTAAAAAAAAGATGGTTTATAACAGTAAAATTCACTGGTATAAGCAATTATAGTGTGTAAAAAAAAAAAAAATCCTGATCACTTCCACAGAGAAGTTACTATGGTAACACTGTGTTGCTCTGGTCATAATATGTTAAAAATAATTGTAAAAAAAAAAAAAAAAGAAGAAAAAAGAAAAAAAATTGAAAGATTTGAAAAAAAATGTATTATTTTTGGCATATTGTCACCAGTCTGTGTCCCGAATCACTGCCACACTAGTTATATGATGATGCTGTACGGTATGTAAATTGGGAAAACACTTTTTTTTTATATTTCTTCATTTTCCAAACAATTGTGATAAAAAATTACAACTGTTTTTTTTCAGGCCTCAAGAAATGAGATAGGCCATCAGTATAACAGGATGGATCAATTTTCAGATATTTCATATCTGTTTCACTTAAATGATTCAGATTATCAAAAAAATTTTAATATCACTCAAAGATAACCCGAGTAAATACAAAATGCTGTTTTAAAATGATGATTTTATTTATTAAGGAAAAAAGCTGTCCAAACCTGCCTAGCCCTATATGAAAAAGTAATGCACCCCCCTCCCCTGCTAAATTATGACAGAGCTGTGATTAGCCATGTTTTTTGAAATGCTGTGTTAAATTTCACTTGCCACACCCAGGCCTGATTACTGCCAGACCTGTTGAATCAAGAAATCACTTAAATAGAGGCTGTCTGACAAAGTGAAGCATGCAAAAGAAATCTCAAAAAGCAACACATCATGCCACGACCTAAAGAAATTCAAGAGCAGAAGAGAAAAAAAGTGATTGATATGTACCAGTCTGGAAAGGATTACAAAGTAATTTCTAAGGCTTTGGGACTCCAGATAACCACAGTGAGAGCCATTATCCACAAATGGAGAAAACTTAGAACAGTGGTGAACCTTCCCAGGAGTGGCCGACTTACCAAAATTATTCCAAGAGCTCAACCACAACTCATCCAGGAAGTCATAAATGAACCCAGAACAACATCTAAAGAACTACTGGCGTCACTTGCCTCAGTTAAGGTCAGTGAGTTCCTAGGCGAAAGCCACTGCTGACCAAAAAGAACACAAACGCTCATCTCACACTTGCCAAAAAACATCCATATTATCCTCAAGACCTTTGAGCAAATATTCTGTGGACTGATAAGACAAAAATTGAAGGTGTGCGCGTTCTGTTACATTTGGCATAAAACTAACACAGCATTTCATAAAAAGTCATACCAACAGTTAAATATGTTGGTGGTGGTGGTGGTGGTAGTGTGATGGTCTGGTGCTGCTTTGCAGCTTCAGGACCCAGACGACTTGCCATAATTGATGGAACCGTGAAATTTACATTCTACCAGAAAATCTTGAAGGAGAATGTCATCAGTTTGTGACCTCAAGCTCAAGCGCACTTGAGTTATGCTGCAGGACAATGATCTGAAACACACTAGCAAGTCCACCTCTGAATGGCTCAAAACAAAAAAAAACTAAATTAAGGTTTTGGAGTGGCCTAGTCAAAGTTCATGCTTAAAGTTTTCATACTCCCCTGATTGCCCTTTGAGGCTGCAGGACCTCTGACCCCCGTCTGGACAGTGCTGATTGGCCCTGTGCTGATCACATGCACTCTCCAAAGAAAAAAAAAAACAACTCTCTAGCAATACACACCAAACTGAGCATGTGCAGCTTGCCCCTGAGGCTATGTTCTATCAACAGATGAATTGGGGACAATAGAAGAAGGGGAAGATTACAGAAGAGAGGATTGAACATCCTTTTTACACAATGCGGAGGATTGATCTCTTAGGTTCCACAGTGAGTATACCAAGCATGCTTTACTGAATATACAGATTGATTTTACGGCCAAATTTGATCTACAGTGATGTGAAAGACTTATTGCCAGTTATCACAAATGATTGATTGCAGTTGTTGCTGCCAAGGGTGGCACAAGCAGTAATTAGATTCAGGGGGCAATTATTTTTTCACAGGCAGGTTTGCACAGCTTTTTTCACTTAACCACTTGCCTACCGGGCTTATACCTCCTTCTTTACCAAGCCAATTTTCAGCTTTCAGCGCTGTTGCACTTTGACAATTGCGTGGTCATGCAAGATTGTACCCATATGAAATTGTTATCATTTTTTTTTCACAAATAGAGCTTTCTTTTGGTGGTATTTAATCTCCGCTGGGCGCTTTACTTTACTTTTGCGCTATAAACAAAAAAAAGTGTCTTTGTTTCTATTATAAACTTTTTCAAACAGGTAATTTTTCTCCACTGATGTGCGTTGATGAGGCAGCACTGATGGGCACTGATTGGCGGCACTGATGGGCACTGATAGGCAGCACTAATGAGGTGGCACAGATAGGCAGCACTAATGAGGTGTCACGGATAGGCGGAACTGATAGGTGGCACTGATAGGCGGCACTGATGATGGATACTGATAGACAGCACTGATAGGTGGCACTGACTGTCATCACTGCTGGGCACTGACTGGCGGCACTGCTGCGCATTGACTGGCGCAACTGCTGGGCACTAACTGGCACAACCACTGGGCACTGACTGGTGGCACTGACTGGCAGCACTGCATTGATGGGCACAGATGGGTGGCACAGGTGGGCACAGTGGCACAGGTGGGTGGCACTGCTGGGCACAGGTGGGTGGCACTTCGTGGCACTGCTGGGTGGCACTGCTGGATACAGGTGGGCGGAACTGGTGGGTAGCACTGCTGGGCACTGATCATCAGGGCACTGATCATCAGTGCCCTGATGATCGGTGCCGATCCCTGCTCTGACAATTGCCGGTTCTCGGTAGTACTTTCCTCGCGCTCTGACAGTGTGAGGAAAGTGCAGCCGAGAACCGGCAATTACATTTCCCGGTGATCAGCGTGTCATTGGACACGGCTGATCACGTGGTAAAAGGCCGCTGTGATTGGCCTTTTACAACATCATGTTATCAGTTGTGTCCGTAGGACACAGCGATCACGGAGATCGCCGGGTGCGCGCCCCCGGGGCACGCAGGAGAGCGCGTTCTGGGAGGATGTCATATGACGCCTTCCCAGAACTGGCTGGCCACAGTGTAGCCGTCATTCGGCTATCTGCAGTTGGCAAGTAGTTAATAAATGAGATCATTAAAAAACTAAATTTTGTATTTATTTGGGTTAGCTTTGTGTAATATAATTTGCTTGATGATCAGAATCATTTAAGCGTGACAAATACGCAAAAAAAAAAGCACTGTACCATAGTTGAAAAACTCAATAACTTTCCTACAGACTAAATAATACACCAATTTGGGTTATTTTCACCAAAGAAATGTAGCAGAATACATGTTGGCCTAAATTTATTAAGAAATACTATTTATTTGCAACATTTTATAATAGAAACGAAGAAAAACTTGAGGTTTTTTTTATTACATTTTTTTAAATATTTAAATATCACCACAAGAATGCTCTATTTGTGTGGGAAAAAAATGATAAAAATGTAATATGGGTACAGTGTTGCATGACAGCGCAATTATTCAAAGTGCAACAGAAAGCTGAAAATTAGCCTGGCCAGCAGAGGAGTGAAAGTGCCTGGTATTGAAGTGGTTAGTATGTTGAGATTATTCAAAATTTTCATTCTGCCAACTCTCATCTACTGAGACCTGTGGTGGATGAAATCTTCACCCCTTAACTCAACCATTGAGAATACCTAGGCCTGTCTTAACTTGTGTGGTAAGTATTTTTAAAAGAAGCCACATAGCAAGAGGTGACCCCTGCACTTCCTACAGTAGAACAGAACCTACAAAAGGTAGAAGAACTTCATTTTTTTTTATTTTTTTCACACAAATAGAGCTTTCTTTTGCCAACATAGGGCTCTAGGCTGTGATTGGACACAGCCAATCAGCAGGTCCCGGCCATGAATCATTGGCCGGGACCTGCTGACTAGCTCCTGGACATGAATCATTGTCCGGGACCTGCTGACTACGTCCTGGCCATGAAACATTGGTCGGGACCTGTTGACTAAGTACTGGCCATGAATCATTGGCCGGGACCTGCTGACTAAGTCCTGGCCATAAATCATTGGCCGGGACCTGCTGACTACGTCCTGGCCGTGAATCATTGGCCAGGACTTGCTGACTAAGTCCTGGCCGTGAATCATTGGCCGAGACCTGCTGACCAAGTCCTGGCCATGAATCATTGGCTGAGACCTGCTGACTAAGTCCTGGCCATGAATCATTGGCCAGGATCTGCTGACTAAGTCCTGGCCGTGAATCTTTGGCCAAGATCTGCTGACTAAGTCCTGGCAATGAATCATTGGCCGGGACCTGCTGACTAAGTTCTGGCCATGAATCATTGGCCAGGATCTGCTGACTAAGTCCTGGCCGTGAATCATTGGCCGAGACCTGCTGACTAAGTCCTGGCCATGAATCATTGGCCGGGATCTGCTGACTAAGTCCTGGCCATGAATCATTGGCCGAGACCTGCTGACTAAGTCCTGGCCATGAATCATTGGCCAGGATCTGCTGACTAAGTCCTGGCCGTGAATCATTGGCCGGGACCTGCTGACTAAGTCCTGGCAATAAATCATTGGCCGGGATCTGCTGACTAAGTTCTGGCCTTGAATTATTGGCCGGGACTTGCTGACTAAGTCCTGGCCATAAATCATTGGCCAGGACCTACTGACTAATGCAGGCCATAGACGGGTCGTTTATCGGCCGAATTTTCGTCTGAACAAAAAATCGGGCAATATACATGACGTTCGTGGGGCCAGCCCGCCATTTTTCGTGGATCTTCACATTTATTTTTATCGTTCATGCTGGAAAATCCTCAAAAAAATGGCCATTTTTCGTGGACATTGGTTGCAGCATTGGCAACGGGGCCAACCGATTTTTTGTTTATCAGCCAAAAATTCGGTCGATAAACGGCCCGTCTATGGCCTGCCTTAGTCCCACTGTGTTCAATCACAGCAAAGTCAGCAGGCAGGGGGGTGCATGCCTTGAACCCAAAAGAAAGCCGTGAGGTACAGGTAAGTTACTGTGCCTGTACAAAACCGCCCATCCACAGCAAGTGGATATGAACAGAGATAGAACTGAACTGTATCTGATTTCAAAGTTATATTTGTATAGATGTTGAGTTAATTAAATACAAATATTCAGTTCTAAAAAGGTCAAATTTGATATCCAGTGTTAATGAAGTGTGACAAAGCTATGCAGGAGAAGTCCTTTGCTCAGGAGAATCTGCAATTATCCTCAATTAGGGAAGTGGTTCGGCTTATGAAGGAATCCGAATATTCAGTCCTTACCTAAAAAGGATTTACATTTGCTCCTTTATTCATTTGAAAGTGTTTGTAAAGGCAAAAAGATTTTTTTTTTTACGTTAATGCATTCTCTGCATTAAGGTAAAAACATTCCAATAGCATCCCCCTCAGCCCCTACTTAAAGGATAAGATCACCTTTTAGAAAAAAAAATAATAAATGCACATTTTTGTGCAGGTAAAAAAAATGTGCATTTATTATTTTTGTCTGCAGGAGCCTGTAAAGCAGTGCATCAGCACTCAGGAGAGCACTGGTGCCATGCAGGTCTCCTGCAGATCTGTCAGAATATCTGCTTGCCGTACAGGATGTACAAACAAGCAGAAATACTGACAGGAGGAATGAATGAACTACCATGCCGCTTCCCAGAACTGTGGTAGTTCATTGAGGACCACAAGCTGACAGCCACTAAGGCTGTCAGGACTTGTAGTCTCTCATTCACAGATGACTGTGAATAAGTGACACAGCCATGTGGCCACCCTTTTTTAAATTTGACAGCTAGCAAGGGGGGAGTAGATCACCTGCTAGCTGTCAAAGTGGGGATCAGGGGGAGTGGGGGCTGGTCTGATTATCCTGAATATGGGTGTAACATGTTATGAAATGTGAACTTATCCTTAACCTCCCTGGCGGTATGATTATTTCCGATTTTTGGTGCTGAAAGCGGTACCATTATTTTGCATGGAAATATGTAGTTTTTTTATTGTAGGCTGTAATATTTAGGAATAACTCACTGAAATCTGTCTGAACAAGAGTCTATTAAACACCCCGGGTATGATAAAATTTGAAACACAAAATCATAAATTCTAATTTAATAAATAATCATAAAAAATAATAATATAATAATATTACATTTAATTCAATAATATAATCAAACCAAAAACACTGAAATTTGAAATATAGCGCCAAGTTCGCACATTGCTGAGCAAAGTCGCAAAATCGTTTTCAGTGTCTGATGACGAATTTCCCCACGAATCATTATCACTCAATTCTGAAAGTGGTTATAATTTACTATCACTGTTCTCTAGCCGGTATAAACCCGCTTTTGACCTAAAGGGACAGTTTTTGGACGCCATGGACTTTTCTAAGTTTCCAGGCAGAAAGAACATTCAAAATGCAGACAGGGGACAGGACAGAGCACTAGGGACAAAATGTATGTGAAATGGGTTGAAACAGCAATGTTTTACTATGAAAAATCGTTTTGAAAAACATGAAATTTTTTTTAAAATTTTCAAATTTCCCGCCGGCGCCCGTACGTCCCGAAGTCACAGGGACCGGAACACAGGAGCCGGATGCCGGCATCTGCTGGAGGAGATGGCCGGGGACACTGCAGGGGACACATCGCGGGAGCGAAGGACAAGGTAAGTGCTGCAGGGACTCCCTATACAGCGCTGCATGGTAAGCCCGAGTGTAGCTCGGGGTTACCGCTTTTGGTACTGAAACTACCCCGAGGTACACTCGGGAATACCGTTAGGGAGGTTAAACACTTACCTGAGTCCTGTATTGATTCAGCGCTGTGCCCATCTTGAGCTTTTCTCTCACAAGCTTCACTGAGAGCATATGGGGTTGATTTAGTAAAAAGGAAGAATGCAAAATCTGGTGCAGCTCTGCATAGAAACCAATCAGCTTCCAATTTTTTTTTTGTCAAAGCTTAGTTCACCATGCTGAAGTTAGAAGCTGATTGGCTACCATGGACAGCTGCACCTGCTTTTACACTCTCCAGTTATATTAAATCAACCCCAATGGCTCCCATTGCTGTCAGATAAATCATGGGAGAAGGGAGCAGGGGGCCGACCCAGGCTCTGTGTGTCTACAGAAGCACACAGCCGAGTTTGGGCGAGCATCAGCATCAGAGTAGAGAAGGAGCAGAAAGTGCCAGTGGGGGACTCCAAAACAGGAGATAAGAGGCCACTCTGTGCAATACCAATGCACAGATCAGGTAAGTATAGCACATTTGTTATATTAAGAAAAAAAGCCTTTACAATCATTTAATTTCTCTGTGTGACTTTAAGCTCTGGGAGTGGAGACATAACTAAATGTCTGACAGCTGCTGTCTTGCCAATCCTACTTGAACTCATGTTGATCACACACTGTACCAATGTGCATGATAGTACCAAGTGACAAAGGCCTGTATTTAAAGTGGATCTCCAGTCTCTGTTGAAAAAAATAAAAGTCAGCAGCTACAAAAACTGTAGCTGCTGAGTTTTAAAAAACAGTAACCCACCTGTTCTATGTCCCAGCGGTGTCCTCACCATAGCTGGGTTCAACTGTCCCTGGTGGCATGTTAAGTGTGGGCACCTGGCTTTGACAGCTTGCAGCTTCACAGCTAGGTGCCTACTATGTATGCCCAAGTGGCGCTGCGCATTGTGAATGGTCCCGCAATCCTTTGGGACATGTCAAACGTCCCAGAAGATTGCGGGGGGGGGGACTTCCACTTCTGATCACCTAGGCAATCGAAGTGGGAGTGGGTACCTTTCAAAATCGGGTATCCGCTCCCAAAAGATGTCAATCCTCCAATCCTTAACGGGGCGCGGGAGACGAGGTCATAAAGAGGAACTTCCCCTTTTGGGTGGAGCTCCATTTTAAAGTGTATGTAAACCCTAATAATGAATGTTTATTATTCCCCTCTTTTGGTCTGTTAAGTATTATTGGAAGATTTTGTTTTATTGCTCTGATACTGCTAAGCTTGCCACTAACACTTAGCTCCAAGAGTTATTCTCCAAAAAGGATAAATATTTCATATATGATTGTGTAGAATCAATATTAAGTCATGTGAGAAGCCGCTGCATAGTGATGTGGGAAGAATGAAGTCAACTCACCTGTGGACTGTGGGAAAAGTAAGTACATTGTCTAACTTTTCCCTCTAAAGTTATTTATTTTGCAGTTTAATGCAGCATTGTAGCAAGAAGGAGGGGTTATACCACAATGGGCAAACTACGGCCCACGGGCCGTATATGGCCCGGCGGACCTTTTAATCCGGCCCGCGGAGCTAGGCTCCTCTCACAGTCTGCCCTGAAGACCAGTGTAGCATGAAAATCTGTCTCCTATGAGGATCTGTCCCCCTCGACGTATCTGCGCATGTGCCGGAGATCGCCGATCGGCTGCTAATGCCTGAAACTGGCACATGCGCAGATACGTCGAGGGGGACAGATCCTCATAGGAGACAGATTTTCATGCTACACCGGAACGGCGCGGAACACGGCGAGAGGAACGCGCGGAGCAAAGGTAAGTGAATTGACACGGGGGACTTGGGGACTTAATATGGGGAATGAATTACTATAGGGGGGATGAATTACTATGGGGGATGAATTACTATATGGGGGATGAATTACTATGGGGGATGAATTACTATGGGGGATGAATTACTATGGGGGATGAATTACTATAGGGGGGATGAATTACTATATGAGGGATGAATTACTATGGGGGATGAATTACTATATGGGGGATGAATTACTATGGGGGATGAATTACTATATGGGGGATGAATTACTATATGGGGGATGAATTACTATGGGGGATGAATTACTATGGGGGATGAATTACTATATGGGGGATGAATTACTATATGGGGGATGAATTACTATGGGGGATGAATTACTATGGGGGATGAATTACTATATGGGGGATGAATTACTATATGGGGGATGAATTACTATGGGGGATGAATTACTATGGGGGATGAATTACTATATGGGGGATGAATTACTATATGGGGGATGAATTACTATGGGGGATGAATTACTATATGGGGGATGAATTACTATGGGGGATGAATTACTATATGGGGGATTAATTACTATGCTTACTATGGGGGAATATTACTATACTTACTATGGATGACACATACACATAATTCATCTACTCTTGGTCCGGCCCCCGGGTCCAATATATGAACCCATTGAGGCCCTCAAGTCAAAAAGTTTGCCCACCCCTGGGTTATACACTAAATGAGTGCACCTCAATATTTTAGTGCAAGATCCACTTTAAGGAGAGAGAAGAGTACACTAAGCGTATGGTCAGTCACAGACATTTCTGAGCATGCTTGAATCCTCTACCACCAATCATTTTATCATTCATTTTTTTAAGAGATGAAGTGAAGAAAACATTGCACTTCCAATTCTTGTATAACCGTTATCAAGGGAAATGCTGCAGCAGATTTTGAAGCTGATCAACAGAAATGATAGGATAGTATACCAATATAATAGTCTTTAGCTGGGAGAGTCAAACTGCTGTGCTGCTGTGAGGTTTCTATAGAGTGTAGAAAGTGCTCTTTGTGTGGAGTACTACAATGCACCTTCCTATACAAAATTCTTATGTTCCTCTTTCCATACATATGTAATGATGTGAATATGTGCTGTGGTGCTCTTCACTAACTGTGCCTCTAAATTATACCGATAGTGCATACAATATACAAAGCCATAAGCAAAAGGGGGAACTATAATACACCTCCCCCCACCTAAGTGCAACCTAATACATAATAGTGCATATGATGCCTAAACCTATGAGAGCATGCATCTAATTGGGGCTGTATTGCATCTTCCCCCAAAAGAGATGCAAACTAGTGCACTATGGTGAACTTATGTGTTATTAACCTTACTGTGACAATTTTAAAACAAAAAAGCAACTAAACCAAACAATGCATGCGAATAAAGTCCAATTGCTACAGAGCACCTTGCTCCTCCCAAAAACTTCATAAGTACAAAATAGGTGGTCTTGTCTGCAAGCCAGATACCAAACCAAACAAGTGAATAAAGTCTAAGTGCTGCGAAACTCCTTGCTCATCCAGAAATTCAAAGTGACACTGGTGACAGTGGGTGGTCTTATCAGCAAACCATTAGTGATAGGTGTTTCACTTGTGCCCCAATCACCGCAATATATTGGCCACCTGTATGAAGGTAGGTCAGAAGGCACTTTTGGGTGCTTAAATTGCCCCAGAGGTGATATAATCTCCTTATGCTTTTTGGCAACCACTGCCTTTGAGCCCGGGATCCTCTTATGGGAAAACACTTCAAAACGACCTTGGAACTCAAACTCCGCAGTAAAACAATCAAAGGGAAACTTCCACAGCGTTATACTGCTTTTTATTGCATAAAAATCATTAAAATCCCCACTTACATATGTTCCATATATATGGTGCTTTAAAATCAAACTGGTCATCAGACACTTGTGTGGACCAGATAAGATGCTGTTAGCCCCGCGGTTCATCATGTGAGGTCATCAGGAGCAGCCAGGGACTAACAGCGTCTTATGAAAGTTGGAAACATTTTTAACTGCAAGCAAAATCTTTTGTGTTTAAACATTTTATCCTTTACTGATTACAAAAGGCAGTTTTAGTGTCCCCTTTAGTTCCAGTCTGATGGAGAGACTGCATGTTCAAAATAATATAGAGGTTCACATATATTGCGTATTCATCAGCGAAAACTCCTGTCTTTCATTTGGAGTTCTTCTCAACCCAGAATTAGTAAACATATCTTATTTGTACGTAAGAACGAGGGTGGGCTATCTGTCCCAAATCTCCAGTCCTATTATCTGGCAACTAATATTGCCCCCTTAGCTCATCTCCATGCATCTCACCATTTCCCCTTGTGGGCTACTGTAGACTTGTTGGACTCCCATCCGATACCACTCTCTTCTTTGCCGTGGCTTCCTTTTAGTCATCGCCCCCCATCCCTCAGCCCGACGCTGATGCTAACGCTTCGTCTTTGGGATTCTATTAAATATTCCGCTGGCCTCATTTCTGCCCATCTACCGTTATTACGTTTGCTACATAACCCGTTATTCCCTCCAGGTCATGATAATCCTGGACAGTTTGCCTGGTGGCAAGCACATGGCTTCTATGATGTACATTCAATGCTATCTCCTACTCAAATACTCACCTTTGAAACTCTGCACTCCTCTCATGATATCCCATTGCGGGAACACTTTGGCTACCTTCAACTCCGTCACTTTATTAATACACTAATACGGATGCACCCGGGACCTATAGGCTGTCCCCCTTTGAAAGCCAGTATAGACATAGACCCCATGCTCCGGGCCTAATCTCTTTGGTCTATTCTTCTATTATTTCTTATAGAACTCCTCCGGTCCGTCCCTATCATCAGCTTTGGCAGTCGGAACTCGGGGTACTTTGGATCAACAGGATTGGCGGACCATGACCCAAGCGTTTTCTAAATGTTCTAGGAATGTTATAATTCTAGAAAATGCTTATAAGATTCTTTATCGATGATATTACACGCCTGCTCGTCTGGCCCGTTTTATCCCTACATATTCTCCGACTTGTTTTCGGGGTTGTCAACAGTTGGGTACTATGGTTCACATATGGTGGACATGCCCTAAGGTTTGCAGATTGTGGATCAGAGTCTATGCCATCCTCCGCACTTTTCACACAGACATTAAGCGCAACCCGTATGAAGCGCTTCTATTTAAACCATTGGTGGGCCTTCTCCATCCCAAACGGCAGCTGGCA